AATTTTTGACTCCCGTGTGCGAAGCACAAAAGGGAGTCTTTGCAGTTACCCTGTCTGTATGTTTGTATGTCTGTATGTATGTATGTATGTATGTATGTATGTATGTATGTATGTATGTATGTATGTATGTATGTCACTTTTTTTGTTCCACCGTTATCTCAAGAACCACTAATCAAATTTTGGTGAAACTTGGTACATAGATGCTCTGGGATAATGTGCAGAGTTGATTAGGTTTTGGTAAAAATCTATGAATATTAATTACCTAATTTGCATGATAATTAGCTGATTTTTAGCTGTTCCAAGACTGTTCCACTGATATCTGAAGAACCACTCATTGGATTTTGATGAAATTTGGCACATGAATGCTCTGAACTAGTGCGCAGATTTGATTAGTTTTGGGTAAAAATCTATGAATATTAATTACCTAATTTGCATGATAATTAACTGATTTTAAGCTGTTCTATGACTGTTCCACTGATTTTTGAAGTACCACTCATTGGATTTCAATGAAACTTGGTACATGGATGCTCTGAACTAATTTGATTAGTTTTGGGTAAAAATCTGTTAATATTATTAATTACCTAATTTACATAATGATTAATCAATTTTCGGCTTTTCCACTGATATCTCAAGTACTAATCATATCATTTCAATAAAACTTGAACACTGCACATACCTGATAGTGTTTAGGGTAATATCAGTACATATTAATTACCTAATTTGCATAATTAATTAATTTTCAGCTTTTGATATTTCAGTAGTAATGATCACGTTTCAATGAAACTTGGTACATAGTTACTTGAGGACTGTGCAGACCTAATTAGTTTTTGGGTAAATATTTGTGCATATTAATCACCTTATTAGCATAATTAGTTAATTTTCAGCTTTTCACCTGATATCTCAAGTACTAATCATCACATTTCAATGAGACTTGCGACATAGATATTCTAGGACTATGCAAAGACCTGATTAATTTTGGGATAAATAATTGTGCCTATTAATTACCTAATAACTAGTTAATTTTTTGCTGTTCTATGTCTAAAAACCACTCATTGGATTTCAATGAAACTTTTAAAGAGTACCCATCACATTTCAATGAACCTAAGACTATGCACCATATTAGTTTTTGGTAAATATTTATGCTTCTTAATCATATAATTAACATAATTAATTAATACTGATATCTCAAGTATTGATCATCACATTTGAATAAAACTTGGTAAATAAATGCTCTAGGACAATAGACAGTCTGATTAATTGTGGGTTAAAATCTGTTCATATTAATTCTCTAATTAGTATAATAATTAATATTTTTTTGGTTCTAATCACATTTCAATGAAACTTGGTACATTGTGCAGACCTTATTAGTTTTACACTTAAATCTGTTCATATTAGTTACCTTATTTGCATAATTAGTTTTCAGCTATTCCATCAATATCTCAAGTATAAGTAATTTTGAATTAATTTTTAATGTGTCTCCAAAACTCTCAGCACACGGGAGTTCTTTCTAAGCTTTCTTTGATTTGTATTTAGAAGTAGGCCCCAAATGTGAATAACATACAGAAGAGTTCAAACCAGTCAACCAAAATCTGTAAAAAGAATATTTTTTGCTACAGACGTTGTGTGTAATGAAAAAATCACGATTATCAGGTATTTTTGGTTTAAAAGACATGAGGAAAATACTTTTTCAGAATTATGCAACATGAAAAAAAAGGTTGATGTTTGCAGTGGCATGCTCAATCCCCAAAACCCAATCTGACATATGGCGCCAATTGTCGTCAGTATTTTTTTTTTAAAAAGTATGTCAATTGAGAAGATTTTTATATGCCAATGTTGCCGTTAACAATAAACTACATGTATGTAAATGAACCCTGAACTGACAAAATACAGTGCGAGTTTACAACCCCACTCCACTCATGTATCTATGATCGCCATATGCTAATTCCAGGGCCCATTTCATTAACCATGGTTGTAAATAGTGTTTCAGATGCTGTATTACATTTGAACTATTTAAACTATAGTGGTAGCCCAGTAAACGGGAATCATGCATAAAAATAGAAAATGGACGTCAGCAACATTTTGAAATGAAGTGATATATTAAACCAATTAAAAACTATACGGTATTGTGTGCTTACAGGTTGTATAGTGGTATGTATTTGTAGTCAGTTGTATTTTGATGCACTTCTATTAGAACAAATGCAGCCTACCTAAATAATCATGTTTAAGCAATATAGCTGATTATATTTTGATGGTTGTTCAATCGTGGCATGTCTAGGATAGTTGTCACAACTAGGGCACTTACTGAATAATGTAACCTGAATTCTAATGAATTATACCAAACTAGAGTTCATACAATTTATATTATTCTTCTTGGCAAAGTAATCTATACATGGTCTGATCAAGTGCATCTGGTTTGTTTTACTTTCAACTTGTCAATGAAATATGAATAAATTATGAAATGTTATGAATGCTATTGAGGGCTATTTAATTTTTTAGCTCTGCTGTCATTGTAGATGATTGTCTGTCCAGCATTTATCATCTGTAAACAAATACATTTTCATCTGCTTGAAAACTACCATCTCAATTTCTTTGATACTTGGCATGTACCTCTGTCAAGTTGCCATGTTCCCAACAGCCAGAACTGCGTTTTGTATTAAGGGTGTGTATTGCTCAACTTGGCTACCACAATGCTCTTGTAGGACAGCAGAGCTATTTCAACCGTTAGGTTGCGTGTTAACCAACTTGACATGTGTTTTATATATGAACTCAGAAGTTCAAATAAATCCAATTATTATACATCTGTCACAAGTTACAGCCTGCCGTAATTTTGTAGTATTTCATGGGGTATCTCATCCCACCATATTAGGAAATGCAAATTTCATATATGGAATGATTAGGCATGTAAGCATCCTCTAATAATAAAAACAAACATAGCTGCCATCAAGGTTTGACTGGACTCCACACAAAGAACTTCGACAATTCTGTTCTTAACTTTTTGGATTTCGGCATTCCCATGATGTATCCTTGAAAGGAAAAGATGTGTACTAATAAGGTTATTACGAGGATACCTCAAAGTACGGTATGCACTCAGACAGTACACTTGATACTCCCGCTGTACTGTCTTTGTGCATCTTTAAGGTATCCTCGTAGTACTGTGGAATACTTTCAAGGGGATTTTATTTTTGCTTATTTCGCGGTAAGGAAATTAGCGTGAAAATAAAAACACAGCAAATTGTTGTTTTAGCATCTCATGAATAATTAATGAGTCCAGCTTGCTGTCATATTCGATCGTAGTGTACATTACACTCTAAAACAATACACAAGTTATTAAATGACAAAATTAAGTTTTATTTCCTTTATTTAAATATTTATACGTACAAATACCAGTACAGTAAAAACATTGGCAATATTAATTATATATATTAATATTAATCAAAAGTTCGTTCAGTTTCGATGTAGGGCAAATATTCTGAGCCAATACTAGTATTTTACACAACTTTCTTAAACAAGTCCCGCCTGTGTAAATCCACTGACGACAATGTCATGACAACTGGATAAAATGTCATGACATGACAGCGATGTACTAAGATCTTCGTTGTTAGCGTAACATCTACACTGTTGTCGAGTGACTTGATAACTTTGTCTGCGCATACCAGGACTGGAAACAGTTCTTTAATTCATCTTTGAATTCTTTGTTGACTGCCAAATCTAATGGCTGTAGTCGATCGGTGCAACCCACTGGAATATATACCAAATACATTGTATATATGGTTTCTTTGCAGTATTTCATTCATCTCTTTAGATCGTTGGGCTCTGCAGAGCTCGTTTCATATTCTGGGAGGCCAAGTAGAGTGCATTGATTTTTGAAGTACGTCACAATTACTTTCTCTGCATACGGAAT